GAGCAGCCTGGGCTCTGTGGCTGGCAACAGCTGCTTAGAGCCCGGGCTGGCAGAGGTGTGCCAAGCAAAATGGCCTTGTGTGCCATGCTCGGCACATGTGCCAGAGGTTGCTGACCCCTGCTGTAAGGTGTAGGGTTGCAATGAAGGAGCCTTTCTGTTTTTGGTTTTTAAGTTGAATGCTTGGGAAAAACTGATGGGAGAGCTTCTGATTCGCACTTCATATGTGGGAGAAATGGAGCATAGTAATTCACAGCCATGCTATAAGGGTACATTTATAGAAATTTATAAAGTGTGTTGGACTTCAGAGTGATGAGAGGGAGAAAAAAAGTATTGGTAATACATCAATGTATATAAACCAAAGGCCAGTTTGTTTCTTATGAAATATACTTTCCTCATGGGAGGCTTTGGTAATCTTGCAACCATTTCAATCTGTTTCTGACTGCAGTGGTTAGGACTGAGCATGATTATAGACATCATGACCCAATTAATCTCTGCAGTTAGGTTACAATTGCATTTTTTTATATCTCTGACCACATTTCAAAATCCTGTGTACCCTGGATGTTCCTGTCTGAGCTAGAAAGCTAGCTGTGGCATAATGTCTGCTTCCATTGTGGGGTATAAGAACTTAGATGAAAGGTAGCTGTGATTGTCTCGTATATTTTATTTACCTTGTGTGACAAGTCTAAAGGATAGTACATTTTAGGGGTGTTTCCATTCACGGTTTTCATTTTCTTTATATAAACATTAATGTGTTATTTTAACTGAGTTTCATAAATTTTGGCTACTTTATAACAGTGTTCTCTTAAGGACTTCTTTAAAATATTGAGATGTACAGAAAGCCACCACTCCATCTTAAAGTATTTTTGTTTGGGAATTTGAACCTATCTTTATAATTTTTGGTGGTCCCAGCAAAGGGCCTTGCACTCTTTCACTGTATTCAGTATACTTTAAGGGCATGGAGAGATTTTATTTCACATTTGTTGGACCATAAAAATATCAACTTGAAATTGTACCAGTCTAAAAATATATTTAATTTTTAAGCATTTTAGTCACTGCGTTTGTTCCGCGCAAACTGAGGGGTGCAGAAGGGATGGCAGATATAACCCCTGAAACTAATTTTTAAACTTAATTTTTTTTTTTAAATAAGTCCTTTCAAATGGACCATCTATCTGGCAACCAAGTAAGGAAACAAATAACTTTGGTGTGGTTGTGTGGGTAGGATCAGAGGAATTCCCTGTGCAGGTTTTAAAATTGTAGATATAGTTCTCAACCTTTTTTAAATTTATTTTTCACTGCATTGGTTGGAAGACCATTAAAAAGAAATTTTTGTTAGTTTGCATGTACACTGTGTTTAGGTCTCCAGTTCCATGTGCTGTTATTATTAGCAGCCGTACCCTTTCTTTCCCATTTTCCTTTCTCTTTTTCTGTCAGCACTTATATTCCCCTTGACCTGAAATATTCCCATAGTAGAATTGCGTCAAAGTGTGCTGTGTTGGCTTCAGAGTGAAATAAACTAATGAAGGTAACAAGATCTTATTTAGCAATAACTGCCTCCACTCATAAAACATTTCAATACAAGTTAATACATAGATGTTGCTGGCACCAGTAGACTGTTTATCAGCTGTTTGACAGCTGGTCAGTGTTGCAAGCATAATAGTGAGGTGTGCCAGATTGGCCATCTGAGCTAAGTATTCCCAAATCTAATATCCTATCCCTAGTTAGGTCTGTGGCTTAGTTGGAATAATTGTATCCTCATAAACTGGGTGATGGGCTGTTTTATGCAGTGAACCCAGTTGCTTTTCTTGTAGCTATTAACGTTCTCTCTTTCTTTTAAGGAAGTCAAGAAATTCTGCCCTCGATCAGTACTTGGACAAATTTGCTGGAGACAAGCTCAGACTTCTTATGAGAAGCCAGGCTTTCTCTTCTCCACGTGACTTCCTGGCTGTTAAGAGAGGAGACTATGCTCTCAGGTAAGTGTTGAATGACTATTTTTGGATCTTGCTGAGAGGGCATCAGCACAGAAGTGTCTGAAATGGTTGGAGCACCCTTTCTGCTGATTTGGGGTGCCTCAAATACAGTTTTCTACTATCTAGAGAAGCATCTGGTTGTCTGTCTTTTTAATGGTAGTTTCTCTTCCTCTCCAGGCAAGTTATTTCATTCGCAAGTCCGACATGAAACTGGCTGACCTTTGCCCAGTTGTGTTACAGCTCCTTATGATCTGAGCAGCAAAGGTTTTTTTGATTGGGTTCTTACCAATTTCACTCCAGTGGTCAGAAGAAAAGTTTCTCACCTGCAAGGTCCAAGAGGATAAGTGCCTTTTCCAAAGCTTGAATATGCCTTTTCTGGAGTTGGTCTTCAATGCCATAACTAATAGGTGCCCTCCCTAAGGGCATTTCTTTGTATTATGGAAGTGGAGCCTTTCCATTCCATTTGGAACTGAATCACTGAGCTTCAGTTCATGGCCCTGTGAATATTAACCTTAATAGCTTAGAGACACCATATAAGACACTAAGAGCACTGTACTTAAAAGGATAGGAAAATGAAGTCATTAGTATGCTATGATTTCTGTCCAAGAAATGTATTCAGATTCTACTTAAATAAGAACACCAAACACTCTTATTTCTGACTGTACATCTAGGTTCCCAGTCTGTTATCTTAATATGCATGTGTACACAAATGAAGTGGCAACAAAGTAGTAGGTATGCAGTAGCATTTCAAAATATTGTCAACAAATTCTTAAAAACTTGCACATTAGACTCCAGAAGAAACTTCAGTTGGTAGTTTTCTGTTCTGGGACACACTAATGCAAACTATTCAAGTTGCATAAATTATGATAAAAATGCTGATTTTTTTTCTCTCTGTTTTGCAAAACTCTCAGACTATTCTCCGAATATGGCACAATTAAACTACTATATTGGACCAGACAGCATGTTTCCCTTGTCTGCAGTATTTCATGATTTTTTGCTCCAGCTTCCAGACCAAATGTTTTGAATAAACAATAATGATTTTTGCTTTTTCCCCCTGTCTCTTCACAATGTAACAAGTGCTTTTGTACAAAATAACTTCTGTCTAAAATCTTCATGGCTGTGAGACTAAGTCTTATAAATGATAGTGGAACTGTATGAAAAAACTATGTTCCTAATAAGTTTTAAGTTATTGAAATGTGTTTTTCAGGTTTTCTGAGATGGTGATTTGAAGAGCTAGGTTTTCCAATATGAATAAAGTAAAAACAACATCCGAGAAAAGGTAAATACAGTAACAATTTACTGAGGTTCAATCTGTTTGTTTTATCATGTAATAAATTTTGAGAACTTTACAAGATAAAGGAGCATCATACATTAATAAAAAAGAAAAACAATTATATGCATTCACAAGAAAACTGTAGTCATCAACCTTGCAAGTGCTGTTGACTTACTATAACCTTTTCATGTAAAACTAGCTTAATTTATTTAAGCAGTATTTTAACTGTACATGATTAATACATTTATTTCCTTAATTTATTAATATAGGGAAATACCTTCATATGTGCATGTCTTATTATAGTTGAATATGTTCTGCTCAGGTCCCTTCCTATCCTACAAACTATGAAACTATGATTCCTCAGGAATAACATATTTTTGTATTACATTTCATTTTTGTGAAAGAATTAGAAATAAATTACATAATACTAAATGTTTAGAGGTGTATAATTGAAAGCACTTAGAATGTTTGTTTGTGCACGCAGTTATTTTATCACAGCTCTGTATGCACAAATGTAGCGATAGTGATTGTACATAAAAGGGATACTATGCCTTTGCTTTCTCTTTAACATTTGTGTTGAGTCAGTCATTCAAAGATGTACCATATTCAGATGTACCATTTAAATATAAAACACCTTTTGAATTTAAGATGAAACAATTCTCTGATTTTCACTTTGAGAAACAACAAGATGTCAACTAAAGATACATTTCTGCATATAAGAGGGGTTTTCATAGATTCATAGATGTTAGGGTTGGAAAGGACCTCAGTAGGTCACTTGGTTTGACCCCCGGCCCTGGGCAGGAAAGAGTGCTGGGGTCAGATGACCCCAGCTAGCTGCTTGTCCAGTCTCCTCTTTTAGACCCCCAAGGTAGGGGAGAGCACCACCTCCCTTGGAATTCCATTCCAGATTCTGGTAACCCTTACCATGAAGAAGTTCTTTCTAATGTCCAACCTAAATCTACTTTCCATCAATTTATGGCCATTGTTCCTAGTTACTCCAGGGGGTGCCCTAGTAAAAAGAGCATCTCCTATTCCCTGCTGCTCTCGCCTGATGAATTTATAGGCCACCATAAGATCACCTTTCAGTCTTCTCTTGCAAAGGCTGAAGAGATCTAGGTCCTTCAGTCTCTCCTTGTAAGGCCTTGCCTGCAGGCCTCTGACCATACGAGTGGCCCTCCTCTGAAACTTCTCAAGATTCTCTGCGTCCCTCTTCAAGTACAGCACCCAAAACTGGACACAATACTCCAACTGTGGCCTGACCAGTGCTGCAAAGAGGGGAAGCATCACCTCTCCGGACTTGTTTGTCACGCATCTGCTAATGCATGATGGTGCAGTTAGCTTTGTTGATCACTTTGCCACACTGACAACTCATGTTCATCTTGGAGTCAACTGTGACTCCAGGATCCCTTTCTGCTGCTGAGAAGGTCATCCCCCAGCCTGTAAGTGTGTTGGTGGTTCTTTTTACCCAGGTTCAGCACTTAGCACTTGTCTTTGTTGAACTTTATCCTATTTCATTCTGTCCATTTTTCCAACCTATCCAGATCCACCTGGATCCATTCCCTATCCTCTGCTGTGTATCATCTGCGAACTTGGACAGGGCCAAGTTCCAAGTCACTGATGAAGACATTGAATAGCACCTATCCAGGGACCAGGACTTGTGGGACTTCACTGCCCACATCTTTCCAGGTTGATATTGACCCACCCACCACCACTCTCTGGGTGCAACCCCAAGCCAATTTGCCACCCACCTGACTGTGTAATCATCTACATCACAGCCTGTCAGTTTATTTATGAGAACAGAATGAGATACTGTATTGAACGCCTTTTTAAAGTCTAGGTAGATGACATCTACCTTGACTCCTGTGTCTAAGCATTTTGTGACCTGGTCATAAAAAGAAACAAGGTTAGTCAGGCAGGAACTACCTGTAATGAATTTATGCTGATTTCCTTTCAGCATTGTTTCCCCTGCTGGGCTCCCACAGTTGTGATCCTTAATGATTTTTTCCAGAGTTTTCCCAAGGATAGAAGTGAGACTAACTGGCCTGTAAGTTCCCAGTTCCTCCCTCCTCCCCTTCTTGAAAATAGGGACCACATTGGCCCTTTTCCAGTCCTCTGGGTCCTGACTGGAGCACCATGAGCGCTTGAGCATCTGTGCCAGCGGCTCTGCTATGACACTGGCCAATTGCTTCAGTACTGTTGGATGAAGTTCATTTAGGCCTGCTGATTTGAACACATCCAGCCCCTCCAAGTGCTCCTTTATTAAGTCTATGCTAACAGTTGGTGAGCTAGTGCCCTCCTGTGTCTGTCTGTGATCCAATTGGGAGATTTGTCTTGGTCTGTCTAGGAATACAGATGCAAAGAACACATTAAAGAACTCAGCTTTGTCCTCCCTCTCTCTCACCAGTTGCCCTAATTTGTCCTGTAGGGATCCCATGCTACCTGTACCTTCCTTTTGCTTCCTATATACCTGAAGAAGGACTTTTTGTTGTACTTAATTTTTATCACCAGTCTAAGTTCTAATCCTGCATTGGCCTTCCTAACTGATTCCCTGCAAGTGCGAGCCAGGGAGGTATACTCCTCCTTGGTAGCTACTCCCTGTTTCCACGGCCTGTATACCTCTTTCTTTGCTTTTAGGTTTTCCTGGACTTCCGTGTTCAGCCAAGGGGCTTGTTGGCCCCTTTGCTCCCTTTATACACAATGGGATTGGCTTCTTCTGTGCTCGTAGGATCACTTCCTTGAAGAACGGCCACCCTTTCTGGACCCCCCTTTTGCCAATGTTTTTGAGCTTTAACACCTCCCTAACTAATCTGAGCACACTGAAGTTAGCCTTTCTGAAGTCTAGCACTTCAGCCCTCCTGGTTAGTTTAGCCACCCTTTGCTGGATAGTGAATTCAATCAGTCGATGGTCACTATCCCCTAGGTTACCTTGTACCTGCAGATTCCCCACCTGGTCGTCCCCTGTAGCTAATACCAAGTCCAGCAAGGCCTTTCCCCTAGTGGGATCGTATACCTCCTGCGTTACGTGGAGGTCCTGCATGCAGGTTAAGAACCTATGTGAGCGGTTAGATTTGGCTGACTGCTTCTCCCAGCAGATGTCAGGGTAGTTTAGATCACCCATGACAACCATATCTATTGATCGTACGGCCTCTGAGAGTTGCCTGGAGAATTCCAGGTCTAGCTCATCCTCCTGGTGTGGTGATCTCTAGTAGAGCTCCACTACTAAGTCCCTTTCCCCCGACCTCCTTGTATCCTGACCCACAGTACCTCGGTTTGTCCCTCCTCTGATCCCATCTTGATTACAGAGACAGTATATCGTTCCTTAACATAGAGAGCAACCTCTCTCCCCCACCCCCACACTTTTCTCCCTACTCTGTCCCATCTGTACAACCTTTAACCCTCAATGCCTACTGCCCAATCATGAGTAGGGTCCCACCAGGTTTCAGTTAGTCCAACCAGGTCAAAGTTGTTGCTTGCAAGAAGGAGTGCAAGTTCTTCCTGTTTGTTCCACATGTTTCTAGCATTAGTCTAGAGACATTTAAGCCCCCTGATGAGTGCCCTTGGTACCCGCCTGTCCTGATGTCTGTTGGGCCCCTTAGTGCTTACCTGGGCGGATCCAGTGCGTTGCTCATGGCTCGCTGATCCTAGGTTCTCCTTCCTCTACTTCCACGTCCCCTGATGAACCTAGTTTAAAGCCCTTCGGAGGAGATCAGCCAACTTGTAAGAGAACAGACTCTTACCTTTAGAAGAGAGATGAAGACCATCTTGTCCCAGGATGCCTCTCTTATGGAAGTGTGGATCGTGGTCGTAGAAACCAAAACTCGCATGATGGCACCAACTCCAGAGCCGCAGGTTGACTTCCCTGATGCAGGCGTCCTGATGCTGACGGCGACCTCGGGATGAGAAGACCGCCTGTGCCACTGACTTCTAAATCTGGCCCCCAGAGCCCTGTAGTCACTCATGACGCAGTCCAGACTACTCCTGGCCACATCATTCATGCCCACATGGAAGAGGACCATGGGATAGTAATCAGAGGGCTGGAAGAGGTCAGGAATCCTCACAGTGATGTCTCAGATCCTGGGCAGGCAGCAAACTGCATGGGCTGTGAGATCCGGTCGACAGATAGGTCCCTCTGTGCCTCTCAGGAGGGAGTCGCCCGCCACAATGACCTGGCATCTCTTCCTCCAGCTGCTCGGTTGTTGCTCAGCCTGCCTGGTGTTTGTTGCAGATGTCTTCCCCTGCGGCTTCCTGTGCTGCATCATTCTCCAGTGCTGCCAGGGCTTTGTGTCTGTTCCCCAGTTGTGTTGGGGAAGCAATGACAGGTGCATGCTGTCTAGCTCTGGAGGTGACCATTCTCCTTTCAGCTGTTCTGGGACTCTTCCGTGATGTCTCTGTGCTAGGTGTCTGGTCCTACAGAGAATGAAAGTATTCATCAATCTCATCCTCTGCAGCCCTGATCCCCCACAGCCTGCTCACCTTTTGTTTTGTTTGTTGGTTTGTTTTAAACTCTTGAATTTGAGATGCATGCCATTGTCAGAATATTTGTTTTAATATACTTTGTCTTTATATTCAAAAGAACGTGGTAAACCTGTGCCTAAAAATGGAACTACTGGCTTTAGTAGGGTTATGCAATTGTTTTTTAAGAGAGAGGCTGGCCACTGCAGTATCAGAACCTCTTTTTGAATCTTTTACTTATATCTGGACTATGTATATTTGTTTCAAAATGAAAAGAAGACAATTAGCTCTAGTGATTTAAATTTTCAAGATTAGTCTTCTCCATGTTTGTCAAAAGGAATGTCTCTGTCTCCCTTTCCTTCACCCCCAACTTCCTTTCCACTAAAAAAATTTCTCAGGTAACTGTTTGTCAAGAAGATATTATGCACCTGAAAAAACTAAATTAGTTGTTAAAAAAAAGTGTCATTGTATAAACTCTACCATATTTAGTATCACATGTTGCATATATAGCACCTAGCTAGTTTGATGTCCTGAAAATCTTTCTAAGGCAACAA